GGAGGGGAAGGTGCCCCTGCCTGTGGCAGGGGGATTGGAACTAGATGAGCTCTAAGGTCCCTTCCAACCCAAAGCAGTCTGCGATTTGAACAACTGAAAGTTGTTCTTCAGTTCTAGTTTTATTACCCCTTCAGTGCTTTTTGTATGTTTGTTTTGTTTTCCTGAGGAGATGTCCTTCAGTTTTTGTTCTTTTTCTGCCAGGAGATCACCACCAGATGGACAGAGTTTTAGAAGCTTCTCATTTGAAAAACCAGCACTATCCCCCAAGCCAAAGCAACCTGATGATGATTCTGATGATGACTATGAAAAAGTAAGAGCAAGCAGATGATCCATTCTCAAAGAGGGGTTTTTTTTTTCTTGCTTATGTGCACTTTTGGGAAGCTTTTAAATGCATTTTTTTTAGGGAAGGAACCCCTAACTTTCCGAACACACAGTGCTGTGGGAGATTTTTTTTTGGGGGGGGGGAGGTTGAGCTTTCAAGAATTAAATCATCATTAATAATTTCAAATGCTGATGACTGTGGCTTATTTGTGTAACGTTGTTAGAATTTTGACTTGTCATTTACTCACATGGGGATTGATTTTCTTCATATTTTTTACAGGTTGGGCTGCCTGCTTCAGTATTTCTTAATACCTCTGAATCCTTCGAAGTTGAAAGGTAAAATATGACTTTAAAGTAATTGCTTAGAAGTCTCACAACATACAGATCAGTAGTCCAGAGAACATGCTGATAGGTACAATTTGTGTTTAAAAACAGAATAAAAGTATTTTAATTCCTTTAATGTGGGAATCACTGTTTAGGAGAGTTAGCTTGGTGCTTATGTGTCAACTGAAAATGCACACATCTTGCAAAGTGATTTTTCTCCATTCAGAGAAGGTTGTTCTGCCAGGGTGCTCAATGGGACCCAGCCATTGCTGGGTCAGATGCTGGAACAGTGACATTTTTCCAGCTATAATGTTCTATGAATTATTGCAAGTGAAATAGAGATTTCTTTAATAAGAATTTTAAGAATCTAGGCATTTTACCTATCTGATTCAGAACATGCTAATATATGTAATTGCTGTTTTAGGACATTTAAAGCTAGTAGCCCACGGGGACAACCACAGAATGGATTGTACTGCATTAGGAACTCATCTACCAAGCCTGGAAAGGTAACTTGCAGTTGCTAAATCTACCCTCCAAACCCCTTTTTGATTTATAGATACTGTATCTTATATATGATAAAGTACTTAAAAATTTACATGTGCTCTTTCCTTAAAGCAAGAAAATCTGAGACAATCACTGTCATCATGCAGTGATTTTAATTCTTTTAACCTGGATTATAACTAATTGCTTAATAATATACTGACTTAGAAGAGCTTATTAGAGTAGACTGAATATGGTGTATTTTTTCTCCTTCAAGGTATTGGTTGTGTGGGATGAATCTGCAGAAAAATTGAGGAACTACAGAATCTTCGAAAAGGTTAGTAGCTGCACTATGTGGGCATGTGTAACACGTGTGTACAGGTATGAATTTCATGTATATGTGTGTATAAAGTGTGCATGTGTATAGGTATGTATCAGAGCTAACAAGTTAAAGTCTAAACTTATTCCCATTCCTAAAAGGAAAAATAAGTGGATTTACAAACACCTGGTCTGAGATGAGAGTTTGAGGACTCGGATCTGGGCTTTCTAGTTGCTGTGTCAGGCAAAAGACAAACCAGCTGTAAATTTTCACATCAAAATTTCAGCTCTGGTCAAATCCTAAAAGAAGGGATATTAAATTCCTGCGTTACATTTGGACTTCCTTGTGTAAGTGACTGGTTTGCAAAGCAGTAGCTTGTTTGAAAGAACTTCTTAGTTCTGATGAGGATGTTAAGGGCTTTATTAAAACATTGAGTTGGGAAAATTGCCTATCATTACATACATGTTTTTTGTTTGTTTCTTTCTTTTACACCAGGATTGCAAGTTTTACCTGGATTCAGACATCATGTTTTTGAACATGGGGAGTTTGGTTGAATACTACAGCATTCATGTCTTACCTAGTCATGACAGCCTGATTCTTCGGTGTCCTTATGGTTACTCTAAACCAAGGTGACATGACAGGCATAATTCACTGACTTTTAGGACAAGCACATTCTCTACTGCCCTTGAATGAGATGGACTCCTGCCAGTGCTGGACATCCCATTGTTTGCACACAGAAACTGAGTGTGTTTCAACCACTTATTCACAACTGAATTGTACATAACCTCCATCTAATGAACTCTTGGTAAAACCTTACAATCCAGATCAGTGGATTTTATGGTCTTTTCTTTTAAAAAGAGCTGAAGTGATTATGCTGTGAAAGCTGCCCGTGATACTTGCACCTTTTATAAAACTGCTGCTATTAGTAATCTCCTTGGAATGTGGAAGATGGACATGAACAAAGAAGTCATCTGAATACAACCCATACAGAAAAGGGAAACTTCTGAAAGCGTACCAGAATTTGCTTGTGACAGGGAATACTAATACTCTGACTTGAAGGTATTACTCCTCAAGTCAGCACTGGTGCTCAAAAGTTTTGCTATTACTTGTATAGTTGATGTGTAAATAATGAAGACTTCTGTGCAAATAATTTGATTCACTACAGGTAAAGATGAAATGTGGCTATTGTTTTTTAAACCACCTCATACATAACTACTTCATACATAAATCTTCAGATGACAATGTCTGCAGTAATCCATATCAATAGGGTACTAGCCAACTGATAGAGCTGTGGTATCCCACACGTTGCTTAGTGACATGCACTTCAGGAGGGCATGGAATAATACTGATTTGGCTTTCCTGGGAGCCCCATTGCTTAGTTCTGAACTGGAAGGGTAGGTTCCTCTACTATTTTTAATGGGTATGAGGAAAGAGAAGGGGCTACTTAATCTCAAAGGGGAAGGGATGGAGTCTTTTGAATACTCCAAATTCTGACTAGCAGTTTTTTCTCACATTGCTGTAATCAAAAGTTCTTTAAAACAAATCATAGAACCATGAGCGTGATGCTACTACCACTCCCTAAACCTTTGTGGTCAGTCTCTTGGGCTCAGGTTGTCAGCCCACTGCAATTCTGTTCTGTTCCAGGGCAAACACACTGCCCTAGTCTGCTGCTTTTAGATCACCAAGAATTTCTCCATTATTAAAATTGCTGTTTGTAGTTCCATGCAAATCTGGTTTTAATATGCTATTAAGTGATCAGTGATAGGCATTACCAGAGTGCTTGTGATACTCATTCCCTAATATTTCGGGGACAGGTATCCTAAAACCAAGGGCTTAATATTTATGCCAAAATTACCCTATTCCTAAATTATAATAAGAATAGATTTATTTTAATGGCCTGTTAAGTAACATTGACTCAAAGTTATGGCCTCATACTCTGATACTGTTTACAAGACTTGTAATTCTGTCACTCCTGAAGCAGGAAAAGGAATCAAGTTTCAGTCAGCCTCAATCTGTATCCATAAACTTCACTTTTTCTGTTACCTTTTCCAAGTTCACACATCAGTGTTAGTCTTGTTGCAGTTAGATGGTCACAACTTTGAAAACATCAACAAAACCATTACAGAATAAGAATTTTCTGTTTATGAAAACAGTAAACCAGGAGTTAATCCTCAAAAGATTTTCCTTAATGAAGAGATGCAACCTTAGAACAAAGCATAGGAATCAAGGCAAGAAACTGCCTCTGCCTTTTTCAAGTGACAAAGACATACACATTATCAGCCGTTTGATCTCCGTCCCTGCTGTGATAGGTTTTATGTGCATAAAGAATATGCAGTACTTAAATGTCAGATTCTGATGGTAATATTGGATATTTTTGTTTCTAATTCCTTTTATTTTAAAGGAGAATCCCTGTGGTTCCTTACCCTCATATGATCCACTCTGTAAAGAAGGCTCAGCCAACAAAGCATTTAAAAACTGGTTTTGGCATATCAATATATGGATATCAAAGCAAGTTCTAGTTTCTTGAGTTTACACCTACTGCTTACAGAGTAAATTTTTCTCTGGGAATAACGGACTTCACTGTGTTGTGACAGTCACACTCACGCTATGTGTGGGGCCCTGCTCAGATTCTTACTTCTTTTTGGCAACCATATACTCTGAAGATTTTTAAACTAAAAATACTCATGTAATCCAGTACCTATAAAACATAACACTGTCTTTACCTGTGTAATATAAGATTTGCAGATATGTAAATTTTTGTGTTAATATCCTGGTTTTATATAAATGTATGTGTTTCTGAAGTGGATAAACTTTCAATGCCAGTTCACCTAATTCTGTGCAGTTGTCTTTAACTTAGGGGGGCGGGTGGGGAGCTGTGTTTTCATGCTTTTGTAGTTGTGTTGACTAGTGCTGGATTTTTCTGGCTGTGAAGTTACATGAATTAGCTTTCCAGCCCCTCAAGAAGAAAGAAATCTTCATCTGGTAGCAACGCTACCAGAAATTGAGCATTCTGGTCATCAGACAGTGTGGCTGGGGGGCGAAATGACGTGCTGGGTAATCCCCTCAATCCTCCAGAAACAGGTAGAAGGATTCCAAATAAATCTGTAATTGCTTATGCTCTCTCTTCCAAGTTATCTTGCTCCTACACACTAGTCTAGTCTGTTCTATGAAGAATTAGACGCAGTTAAATACCTGGTGTTTGTAGGGAGAAAAGGCACAGCTTGATTGTGTGGCTCAGTCTGTCTCCTACACCTCTTACTAATCTGGCTCTCCTTTTCCCCACAAATACGCCTCTTGCATCTATAACCTACTGCAAGCTCTGTAGCTTTAAAATAGTTTGTGGAGAAGTATAAAAGCAGTATTTGGTGTGCCAGAAAAATGCAGTTTGTGAGTTTTAACAATACCCAAGTCAGTCATTGATTCCAGTTTGGAAAAAGTCTTGCCCCTTAGATCTAAACTCCCAAGAGTGTTACAGGTGATACTGGGGGTGGGTGGTGCTCTTTCAGGGGTAAAAATACTAGAGTCCTGAAAAGAAAGGTTTTAATAAGGGGCTGTCAAATCAATAGGCAGCGTATTGTAACAAGTGAACCAACAGCCAGACAATTTTTCTACAACAGTAAGGTCGCTTTGTGCCAGCAGTCAAGTATTTGCTAGCTCAGAACGTCAGGTTTTACAAGAAGGTAAATAAGCAGCGAAAGTGTTGGTGGCCTCTGGTGTGTTGGGCTTTGGCACGTTCAAAAGGATGCCAAGACTTCTGAAGCTGTAACCGGTTATTTTGAAACTGGGGACATCTGCTGGTCAGGTCAGGCTGTTTCACGCAGGGATCCCAGCAACGGGAATACGGCATGTACAAGTCATCTGGGTAGAAATCAATCTTGAGTGACTTCAGGGAGAAGCTGGAGATGAAAGCTTAACTTCAGGTGGCAACTTGATGGGCCAGGTCTTTGAAAGGTAAGACATCTGGCTTGTCTTTCTTATACACGTAGCAATGTTTAGCCAAATTACTCATTTGAATGCCTTTTAACCTAGATGACAAAATGAATTTAATTTTATACTAATGTGTTTAAATTATTCTTAAAATATACTTTGAGGTAGAATTTACATAATGGACATTTGAGCACTGCCTAAATTATCTACATGGTGCAGTATTAAAGAGTTAGTCTGAACATTAAACAGTTAAGTTGGTCTGAATGTGAAATACTTCCACTAGCAGCAAATCTCATGATGTTGCAATAGTTTCTATCTTACTAAAGAGCCAACTTCTTGATGTCAAGAAGATTATTTTCTAGCAATGGGAGTGCCGAAGATAACCGAGATTACAACCCCTTAAAGAGGCGAGCTTGTAGTACTTTTACTATAAATAGAGAACTAAAGTACCAAATAACAAATGCTACTAAAACTTCTACATCAGGTAGCAGTTGAGCTCATATTAAAATTAGATGAAGTGTGGGCTTAGAGTATGTAGTAAGCCTCATAGTATAGCCACCCAAAAATCTATTCCTTCAGGACTTCCATTCCTGCATGTTAATCACAGGATGGTCATTGCTATCCCTCACTTGCACTGCCTTTCTTACAGTGTCTCCTTACCAGGGAAGTGGGTGACCCAACCTCTTGGGTTCATGACATAGCCTTAATGGGTATGTAATTGTAGAGATATCAAAGACTCATTTTTAACATTGTTTTACTCACACCTATCTCTACTGGAGCTGGTTTGCACAGAAATTACAGTGATAACTGCTTGCAGGGTTAGCTCTCTAGATACATAAACCCAGAGAAAAGCACCAAACCCTTCTTTAAGTCATCATTTCTTCTGCCTTTTAACGATCACTTAGCACTACCTCCCCCTCTGTACAATCCTGGCACAGTTTGTGATTGCCTTGGGAGGCTGATGGGCACTTCAGTTCTGACCTTGAAAGCTTTTTGCGTGGACAGAGCCTTGTGCCAGTATAGAAGCTGTTGATTTATAAGATGATCTGGAAGGTCTGCAACAGCCCATGGGAAACAGAAGGGTCTGTTCCATGCAAACTTATTAAAGGGTTTTATTCCAGGCTGAAGAAGAAAGACATGAGGTGTGGCCTCACGAGCTGTCTGCATCAGGCTTTGGTGGTTATTAATTTACACTGCACTAACATTCATGCTTTATTTACTTTTTCAGTGAAGTTCCAGCCACAGCCTGACCATGGGAGTACGCCTGAAATGTGCCTTTAAAAATTAAATGTAATTGAAAAGAATTCAGAATATGATATTCCAATATTACAAAGCTTCTCCCAAGATGAATTACTTTTCTCCTGTATATAACAATAATTAAAATACTAAATAGTTTATAATATTTTCCTTATGTTTCTCAGCACTCCTCCTTACTTTGAACTTGCCCTGGTATCTTTTTTTTCTTTTTCCTTTCTTTCTTTTTCTCTCCTGGGGCTGTTTTTAGTTCCAAAGTTAGTTCAAAAGTTCTAACTTCTGTTAAAAGCACTTTTCTTTCTCCTCTGAAGGATGAGGATGTCATTAGAGAGCAGCTAAAAATTATCTCAGCAGCTGTCCTGACACTGGAATTGCTACAGAAGCAACTCACAGAGAACATCCATCTCAAAGGTACCTGATGCTCAGGAAGTCATCCCTATGGCAATTAAAAAAATCAGCTTTACTTGGAAAAGGATTTTGGGAAAGCCAACCCAAACCTCCATAGAGTGTTGTAACGTTAAACCAGAGGTGGTTGCTTGAGTTCCTTTTGGCTGAAGCAACCAT